TAATATGAATACAAGTTTACAGTTTTGAACGATGTAAGCTACTCTACTCTTATCTGTATGACCAAAAAATTACGGAGTCGCCTATTAAGTTATTTTAGCTGTAATAATGAGATAAATAAATTAATCTAAATGAACGCTCCGCCGCGTTTGTCGAACACTAACTCACGATGCCAGAATAAAACCCGACTTTAGAAAAATGCATAGGGCCACTCGGCGTGGTGTGCCAAAACACTTAATTATAAACTTCAATATTTCATTCAAAATAATCTCAACACGCTTTGTGAAATTTTGAAAAGCCGTGCATGCATTAAGGCCACTGGAACTAATGAACAACTGAAACGCTGGTTTTGATTTTATTGTTTTTCGTTTAAACGTGCCTGTTGCATATCTCTATTTTATATATTTGATATTGGTGAAGTAGCCTATAGCATTGATTAGCTGTGGAGGGAGGGGTGTGGGGATTAAAATAATTCAGCAGAAGTAGGGATGTTTAGACCAGAAGGAAATCCCAGTCCCCCCTGGCAAATCACACTTTACTTAAAACCATGTTTTTAAAAACTCTAGGTTGTAGGGAACAGACCTCTCTGCCATGCGCGCACGGTTTGGAGCACAATATCTGTCTCGCATGCACGCTCGCTCTAAATAGATTACGGGATATTTTAACTAATTTGCGGTATAACTAGTCGATCACGAGTGGCTCAACAGGTAGATCTATAGATAAACTATATCTTTCAGGAATTTGACCGACCGGGTTGACACTTCAGCGTGAGAAATCAGGGGTGTGGCGTGAGAGCCTGGAATAAATAAATAAAAAATATATATATAGCCTATATAAAACAAAACTGTATGGTGTAACAGAGTTTTAGAGCTAGACAAATCTCTCTGCAATAATAAATATAAAATATACAGCAGACCATGTTTGTGCGGGATTTGAACCTGTGTTATCTTGATGATGAACCGTCAGTTCTACCGCTCGGCTATGAATTTTGTTACTGAGAAATAACCAAACGTTTGATTCTCACATGAGCGAGAAAACGTTTTGTGTTTAGCCTGTGAGTGTAGGCCTACTTTAGCCTTTTACAGTTTTAAAAGATTATATCTTATCTGTATGACCAACAATTTGTTGTAGGCTTATTTGGAAATTACCATAACTTGTAGTATTTCATCCTTAGGCTACTGTTAATAGACATTAGCCCCACTTACGTTTTGCTAAATGTCCCTTTGCGCCACCTGGCGGTCATTTCGCGTACGACTTTGAAATGCGACTGGTTTATTTTTACCGCGGTGGATGGCTAAAAATGGTATGTGGATGGCTAAAAGGTGTGACTAAAAATGTGCTTTTGGCTTTCATTTATATTTTGATTGTTTGTATATATATATATATATATATATATATATACTAATGAGCCTTTCATTCAGGGGTGTCACACAAGAAAGAATGCAAGGACAATATATATAAATAAATAAATATTTATATACACACACACACACACACACACACACACACACACACATATATATATATATATATATATATGTGTGTGTGTGTGTGTGTGTGTGTGTGTATATAAATATTTATTTATTTATATATATATTGTCCTTGCATTCTTTCTTGTGTGACACCCCTGAATGAAAGGCTCATTAGTATGCAGTCTGCTCAGGTGAGAACTGCCTAATTATTCATGAGGGGGTTGGGCCGATCCGCCCATCCGCATATTGCCTTTGCAAACAAAAAAATGTTTTTCACAATTTAAAACAATCTATTGTGTTATGTGAATGATAATTCAGGATGATTTTCAGATCATTTTGAAGAAAAAACTCTAGGCCACAACATCCATTAGTCAAAAGTCTTGTGGACACATATTTAGTATGTGTTTTGTGGCCTTATTTCAGAAACTTTAAGTTTTAGTTTTTTCAATAACCACGCATAAACAATATTCTCTCAAAAATACAAAAATGTACATACATGTTGATAACACATTATGGTAGCCCTGTGTGTGCTAAATAGAGTGTAATTACACCTTTGCCAGTAATATGTTTATAAGCAACTGAAAAAAGCACAAATGTCAGAGTATGTCAAAACATCTCAAGGACCCCAAAAACACCTTGGACCCCAGAGGGTTAAACTCAGATAAAGTGGAAGCCATTTTAATTTGGGTCGGGAGATTATTCCACAGAGTGGGGCCAGCCACTTCAAATCCAGCCGAGATGTAATAAAGGCATTGGATAGCAACCTCTAAAGGGGCGTTAGAAAGAAAGGTTTTAATTTTAGAGAGAGAGCGAAGAAAAAAAAACTAGAGCCCACTACAGAGGCAATTTGCCTGTCAAATTTCAAGCCGTTCTCAATTTCCACACCCAGATTTCGCACTTGGGATGAAATAGCAAGATTTAAAGGGGTCATATAATGGTACATGCACTTTTACAAGTTGATTGTACTGAAATGTGTGTTGGCAGTGCCTGTACACAACCATCATATAATGATAAAAATCCATCCAGTGGTTTTGTTTTAATCTCCTTATATGTTTTCCCCTGTCTTAAATTGAGCCGTTCGTTTTTGTGACGTAAATAAAACGGACGCCCCTCCCACGATTGTTGATTGACAGCCGCGACAGCCGCGTTTCAACACAGACCCGCCCTCGCTAGCTGTCAATCATAGTCAGCGCGGACCGGCGCGGTCATTGTTGATATGCTGGAGCACTGTCTATGAGCAGAATGGCGTCTAAGCGATTGTGGTGTTCTGTTCTTGGGTGTAATCACGAACACAGCAGTCATTTTAATGTTCCTAAATCCAAACCGCTGAAGACGCAGTGGCTGTGTTTGTTTACGAAGGGAATATTCCCCACGAGCAACGTCAATGCTCTCATGTTTGCGCGAATCATTTCACACACCAGACTGCTTTATAAACGAGGGTCAGTATAAAGCTGGATTTGCTAAGAAGCTTTGCTAAAAAGGATCGGTACCAGATATTCGTGTTCCTGCTGAACCTCCAAAAGAACTGAAGTGAGTGTAACGTTTTATTAAACGTTATATTACTATTTATATTAATCCTTGTAAATCGCTAGCTGCACGCTTCACAATGAATGCGTCTAAGGTTTACACTCAGGGTACATTACGGCATGTTTTCTATGGATGACGTTCTCAATATAATGCATAATCCCACGTTTATACTGAACAACGCGTTATGGTTACCGGTATTGTGTTATTGTGTTACAAACGGTGTACGCCAGAGCCGGCTCTGGTGACGCATAGAACAGAGAGGCGGAGTCAGCAAAGCTCATGATCATTTAAAGTCATATACACTGAAACGGCGTGCTGAAAACAGAGCTGTTTTTGACCAGGTAAAATAAGTGTTTTCTTACAATACTAATGAGAATTTTTAATTAAAGTATATTACAAACTTTTAATTTAGACCCTAAAGAATCATATTAGCTTGTACAAAAATGGCATTATATGACCCCTTTAAGAACCCAAGATTAGGTAAGTTTTGTAAACCACCCCTTTCAATCGGATCGAAATTTCAATCGGATCGAGCTCAATCGGATCGATTAAGGTGTTTACATGAAGGTTTTTTAGTCTGATTGAGCCGTCAATCCGATTATAAGTGTCCATGTAAACGCAGCTACTGATTCACTTTAGCATGTAGGTTGTATTAGTAAATTAATCCACACAGATTATTAAATATAAATCAGTCATTAAAACTATCTGCGAGACGCAATTTCACAAACAGCGTAAGTGTTCAGCGGTGCTGCGTCTTCTATCTCTGGTCTCTCAACATGGGTTGCACAAGGCAATCGTTAAGCGCTGCAGGCGGCGAATATACTCTCGCGTTTCGAGTGGATATTCTGATGTCCATGAGAATAAAAACAAACTCAGTAACTTGTATATTTTCTATTTTGGCAGATCAGCTCCTCCCACTACAATTCATCATCAGTGAAGCCCCTCCAACTGTAATTATTCAATAAATACTATAATTATTCAATAAATGCTGTGATTATTCAATAAATGCTGTAAATTCCCATCAGCTACAAGTGAAGACGAGCATCAGAGCATCAGGAAGAGCTGAAATCTGCCAAGACTGAGTTTATTAAAGAGGACAGTGAGAACATGAGTGATCCAGAACCCTGCAGAATGAAACACATTGAAGATCCTGAAGAACAAAGAGGTTAGTGTTTATTCTTCATTCATTCATTATGCTGAAGAACATTCATGTTAGAAACATTCAAGCACTTCATCACATTTAGATAAACAGTTACACTATGAAATGGTACAGAATGTTCTTGGTTTTTTTTTTACAAATGGTCAGTAAAGGGAGGTTTCATATGGTCAATATCAGGTCAAGCTAAATCTAAATATTTTATCGGTTTTATTTTACAACATATGGTTTACAATTTGTAACAGTTACCAGAATTTTTACCTGAATTTGAGTATTTTTTTAAATTGTCCAACATGTACAAATTTTTCAATCTACTTTGCTTTACTGCAAACATTTGTGTTCTTTCTCGCAGTGAAATTCACTTGATCTTGTGTTTCTTGTGTCCCACTTTCACATGCATGTGAAGTCAACGGAAGAAGTTCAGTGTGAATGGCCCTTAATTAAAATGTTTTAGTAGTTTTTAACATAATTAAATATTAATCTAAAAGTTGGTGTCAAAATATGGCAGTATTGTGTATTTTAATGTTCATATGTTAGATAAGTGCGTCATTGATCAAACATTTATAGTTCTCACTACAGAAACATGGGATTTGTGGAAAAAATAACTGGAAGATCAGTGTATCTCATTCATGGAAAGTTTCAGGGACGTATAATTAATTTATTAAAAAAATACATAAATTATTGTATTATTTTATAGAAGTTGTCTGTTACATCTGGGATAATTTTAATCTTCATTAACTCTGAACTATTTTGATTATTTAGAAATTTTTTAAATGAGAGTTTTTCTTTCATGTCAGACCCGATGGAAGAGAGCGAGAAGATGGAGGAGGAGAGAGAAGAACTGAGTGAAGTGGAGGAGGAGAGAGAAGAACTGAGTGAAGTGAAGGAGGAGAGAGAAGAACTGAGTGAAGTGAAGGAGGAGAGAGAAGAACTGAGTGAAGTGGAGGAGGAGAGAGAAGAACTGAGTGAAGTGGAGGAGGAGAGTGAAGAACTGAGTGAAGTGAAGGAGGAGAGAGAAGAACTGAGTGAAGTGGAGGAGGAGAGAGAAGAACTGAGTGAAGTGGAGGAGGAGAGAGAAGAACTGAGTGAAGTGGAGGAGGAGAGAGAAGAACTGAGTGAAGTGAAGGAGGAGAGTGAAGAACTGAGTGAAGTGAAGGAGGAGAGAGAAGAACTGAGTGAAGTGAAGGAGGAGAGTGAAGAACTGAGTGAAGTGAAGGAGGAGAGAGAAGAACTGAGTGAAGTGAAGGAGGAGAGAGAAGAACTGAGTGAAGTGAAGGAGGAGAGAGAAGAGCTGAGTGAAGTGAAGGAGGAGAGTGAAGAACTGAGTGAAGTGAAGGAGGAGAGAGAAGAACTGAGTGAAGTGGAGGAGGAGAGAGAAGAACTGAGTGAAGTGGAGGTGGACAATCATGTCCAACCTGGAGGAAAACCCTTGAGTCGCTCAAAGACTAAACAGACATTTTTAAAGAAAAGAAGAGCCAAGAAATCTTTCACCTGCACTCAGTGTGGAAAGAGTCTCAACACCAAACAACATCTTGATGTTCACATGAGAGTTCACACCGGAAAGAAGCCGTTCTCATGTGATCAGTGTGGGAAGAGTTTCAGTCAATCATCAAACCTTAATGTTCACATGAGGATCCACACTGGAGAGAAGCCGTTCTCATGTGATCAGTGTGGGAAGAGTTTCAGTCAATCATCATCCCTTAATGGTCACATGAGGATCCACACCGGAGAGAAGACGTTCACATGTGATCAGTGCGGGAAAACATTTATCTGTGCATCAGACCTGACGAAACACCTGAGAGTTCATACGAAGGAGAAGCCGCATTCATGTTCTGTGTGTGGAAAGAGTTTTGTACTGCTGCACACTTTACATGGTCATGAGAAAATACACACTGGTGTGAGAGAGTACATGTGCTTTGAGTGTGAGAAGACTTTTACTACAGCAAAGGATTTAAAACTGCACCAGAGGATTCACACTGGAGAAAAACCTTACAAGTGTTCACACTGCGACAAGAGATTCAGTCGATCAGGACATCTGAGATCACATGAGAGGATCCACACTGGAGAAAAACCTTACAAGTGTTCACACTGTGACAAGAGATTCAGTCGATCAGAAAATCTGAAAACACATGAGAGGATCCACACTGGAGAAAAACCTTACAAGTGTTCACACTGTGACAAGAGATTCAGTGAGTCATCATCTCTGAAAATACATGAGAGGATCCACACTGGAGAAAAACCATACAAGTGTTCACACTGTGACAAGAGATTCAGTGTTTCATCACATCTGAAAAGACATGAGAGGATCCACACTGGAGAAAAACCTTACAAGTGTTCACACTGTGACAAGAGATACAGTGTTTCATCACATCTGAAAACACATGAGATGATCCACACTGGAGAGAAGCCGCACATCTGTGATCAGTGTGGAAAGAGTTTCTCTATTAAAAGTCACCTGAAGCGACACATGAAGATCCATGCAGTGGAGAAACCACATCACCACAGTCTGAGATCACGGTAAGTAGTTCATCTTTATGTGCTGAGAAACAAAAGCTGCTTTTCCACCTTCAGAAAAGGTTCCTGGAGCCTGGTACGGCACGGCACAATTACAAACCATTCTTGGCCCTAAACTCTCAGCACACTTGGCTAACCGTGTGCAAAGTTCAATAATGACAACAACATGTTCCAAGAACATGGTTCCTGTTCTCACCATGCACCATTCATTTTCAACTGCCTTTTGTCCATAGAAATGTCCAGCTTCAACTCGAGCTTAGATAAACCACCCAGTGGGACTGATAATGCTTGGATGATGAGTCTGGTAGCAAGATACCCAAATTATGCAGGTGGAGCTGGGGAGGAACGCCAGAGGGCAATTCCAAGCAAAGGTCATCCTTACCATCAAAAAATAAAGTTTTTACCAAAAGAACAAAACCCTTTTTAAGTTGTCCATTTAGGTCTGTAATATACTGTATTAATGTGTTTTACAGAGTCACATGAGCAATATAAACCAAGTTGAATGGTTCAATCTAACAGTACATATAAACAGACAGACTGAAAGGAATGCAAGATTCGTGCTCTAGTGATGTTACATATGACACTGAAGCTTATAAGCGTGTATCGAGTTCGCAGCGAAATTTCTCATGAAGCTCTGTGTCAGAGCGTGTATTGTTTTCAGAGAAACACGTGATCAACGAAAAGCCTCACTTTCTTTCCAGTCACGTGAATGCTTCACTTTGCGTGTCGAAATGTTTGAACCCAGACCACTACTCTACAGGGTTTTGGAAGTTCAAGTCAATTTAAATTATTTTTATTTATATATATATATATATATATATATATATATATATATAAGCAAAGCATTTGTGAAGCCACAACACGCACAACCTTGAGGCGGATGGGCTACAACAGCAGAAGACCCCACCGGGTACCACTCATCTCCACTACAAATAGGAAAAAGAGGCTACAATTTGCAATAGCTCACCAAAATTGGACAGTTGAAGACTGGAAAAATGTTGCCTGGTCTGATGAGTCTCGATTTCTGTTGAGACATTAGTCAGAATTTGGCGTAAACAGAATGAGAACATGGATCCATCATGCTTTGTGACCACTGTGCAGGCTGGTGGTGGTGGTGTAATGGTGTGGGGGATGTTTTCTTGGCACACCTTAGGCCCCTTAGTGCCAATTGAGCATCGTTTAAATGCCACGGCCTACCAAAGCATTGTTTCTGACCATGTCCATCCCTTAATGGCCACCATGTAGGCCACCATGTACCCATCCTCTGATGGCTACTTCCAGCAGAATAATGCACCATGTCACAAAGCTCGAATCATTTCAAATTGGTTTCTTGAACATGACAATGAGTTCACTGTACTAAAATGGCCCCCACAGTCACCAGATCTCAACCCAATAGAGCATCTTTGGGATGTGGTGGAACGGGAGCCTCGTGCCCTGGATGTGCATCCCACAAATCTCCATCAACTGCAAGATGCTATCCTATCAATATGGGCCAACATTTCTAAAGAATGCTTTCAGCACCTTGTTGAATCAATGCCACATAGAATTAAGGCAGTTCTGAAGGCGAAAGGGGGTCAAACACAGTATTAGTATGGTGTTCCTTATAATCCTTTAGGTGAGTGTAATTGGTATTAATATAATTGTTACATTTAATTTATTGCCATACTTTAATATGTGAATTATATTATCAGAAAACTGAACATTTAGCATCCTCTGGCTTTTATTTGTGCTTACAGTTTTTCTCGATTGTTTACACACATTTTCTGAAAGAATGCCTCGTATTCTCAGAACTCTACACACAAATCAATAAACACACACAATGGGCAAAACCACTCAATTCTCCTGCTAAATGAAACTTTACATTCAAAACAATGTTATTCTCAAAATGGTATTTTGTTTTCAAATGACACACAGAAACCATCATATGAATATACATTTATAAGAACCAGTTGAACACTGATGTGCTCAATGTAAAACACTATGATGAATGGAAAACACATCTTCTCCATTCATCATAATGACTTTGGGCCTTTTTTGTTCAGTGTTACACTTACTACAATATTGAGAATATTGTTTTTATACTCAGAACACACAAATACACAGTAACATATTTTTTATTTTTCCCACAAAAACAATGTACACAGTGTACATCCAATTCTCAACCAAAACAAAGTTGCACATACACTACATACAAAACAACAGAAGAATTTACTGTACACGGTTACAGTAATTTTTTATTTATTTTTTTACTTTATAAACTTTTTATAAACTTTATTGCAGACTCAAGTCCATATAACACAGCATAGAAAAGAGATACAAAAATACATTAAAAATTCTATAGGAGATACAGGCTATTGCACCAATGTCGTCTTAACCTCAAAGTATTTCTATAACAGCTTTTAAGAGGATTGACTAGGGCCTCAATTATACTGTTTACTGAATTGTCCAGACGACCCAGAAAACCAAACATCAGTTGTCTCAAGAGCGCCTCCCAAGTCGGCACTCTATTAGACACAAACAAATGACTGGCACTATGCCACCTAGGGACACGAAGCCGCAATCTCATCGCATCATTGTATGCTACCTTGAGCCTCTGCATACTCTTTTTCTTATAATTAGACCACAATTGAGCAGTATATAGCGGTGTGATGTAGGTTCTAAACAAAGAGCACTTCACATTATCAGAGCACATTGAAAACCTCCTTATAAGCATGTTAGCTTGACAATAAATTTTACAGCGTTGACGGTATAGATCTTTGTCATCCGTCCAGTCAATGGATATAACATGACCTAAATATTTAGCTTCCTCACACACAGAAAGGGCTGTCTGACAGATAAAAAGTCGGAAAAGTTGATTTCTTGTCCTCATCACTTCGAACTACCGTTTTGTGGCTTTTTTTAGCGTTATACTTTATATCATAATCAAGGCCATACTGAGAGCACACCTTTAGCATCTGCTGCAGCCCAGCACTATATGGACAGAGCAGGACCAAGTCATCTGCATACATAAGATGATTAACCGTAGTATTGCCCACAAGACAGCCAGTTTTTAGCCTATTTAACTGGTTTGATAATTCATCCATATAGACATTGAATAAAATAGGAGACATAATACCACCTTGTCTCACTCCATTGCTAACATGAAAAGGAGCAGATACAACATTGTCCCATTTAACCTGAAATGTTTGATGGGCATACCAAAACACTAAAATTCTCACTAAAAATTTAGGGGCACCTCTATCTAACAGTTTTACAAACAATCGTTCATGATTGATTCTATCAAATGCCTTTGACGCATCAATAAAACATAAAAACATAGATGAATTCAGGCTTGTGTACCTGGACACAATCTCTTTAAGAGCATAGATACACAAATCGGTTCCATGCCTTCTCTTAAACCCAAACTGATTGTCAGTAGTAAGGACATACATTTCTAGCTTTGTTAGCAGTATTCTCTCCAGTACTTTAGACAAGATATTGGCCAATGCAATTGGTTGATAGTTGTCAATACTGTTGAGCTTACCAGCCTTATCTTTAAGCACAGGCAATAACAATACAGACATAAAAGTATTAGGCAGGACACCATGCTGCATCCTCTCTTCTGTTGCGATCTGGCCACAGCATCTCATCCACATCACAAGCAATGTTTTTCCTGGCCAAGCAGCGGGGGAAATATCGCCTAGCATGGCGATTCCAGCCATGAAAAGCATCAGCTGCTATATCTCCACATGCGTCCTTCATAGCTTGGAGAAGAGGTATACGCGTTTGTGGATTTCGGTCATACACTTTCCATCTCCAGGCAGAAAAAAAATTGAGGAATGGAGAATATGGAGGGAGATAAACAACTAAAAAGCGTGGTTGGGCAGTGAACCAGTTACAAACCAGAGCAGCCCTGTGGAAACTTACGTTGTCCCAAATGACAACGTACCCGAGCTGCTCTGGGCCATCTACCTGATCTGGTGGAATGAGTGTGTTGTGTAGGGTGTCCAGCAGAGATGCTCACAAGTCTCTGAGCTAGAGTCCAAGTCAAGTCTCAAGTCTCTGAGCTAGAGTCCAAGTCAAGTCTCAAGTCTTTGAGCTAGAGTCCAAGTCAAGTCTCAAGTCTTTGAGCTAGAGTCCAAGTCAAGTCTCAAGTCTCTTGTGGTTATAAGTGTTGCATCACGTACAGCGACCCATCCAGGTTGCTTAGAACACTGCATAGCTTTATATAAGGAATTCAAAGCATGTAATATGTTAGGTTACACTTTATTTCGATAGTCCACTTTAGACATTCTACTAACCATGTACATTTTCAACTACATGTCAACTAACTCTCATTAGAGTATTAGTAGACTGTAAGGTTATGATGTGGGTTCGGGTTTGGAGAACAAGTTGACTTGTAGTTGCCAAGTTACTTATAGTCAGTAGAATATCTGTTGGGGAACCAACAAAATAAGATATTATAATATATAATTAGCAGATATTAAGCAGACAGCCTACTAATACTCTAATGAGAGTTAGTTGACATGCAGCTGCAAAGTTACTTATAGTTAGTAGAATGTATAAAGTGGACTATCAAAATAAAGTGGTACCATATGTTATTATGACTCCTTTATCTATTAGCATACAGTATCAGCTTTGATTTTGGTATATAATCAGTGTAAACAGGCTATTGCAACATGACAAAAACACCAAGAATGCTTTACTTTTAGTTAATTTCTTTATTTTGCCTTGTAGCTTGAACATACCAAGACATAAGACCAAATATAGAAAATGATATAACTCACAACACTAAAATTGACACACTCCTATTAAGTGCAAAACATCAGTGTAGCTAAATGCAAATAAACTATTGCATCCAAATGAAATTTTTAACACTACAGTGCACTTCCAAAACATTAAAATGCTCAAAATCTTTAGTGTAAATGTGAAGCAACTGACCAACTTATGGCATGTAACTTGTTAAGAACAAAATGTTTAGAAATAAAAAAATCCAAAGGGTGAGATCAGACTGGTTAACCTTC